CTAGGCATCAGGGTGGGCGGCCCGGCAGCGGCGCCAAGGACTAGGGTGTGGGAGCTGGGGATGCTTCCCTCTGCTCGTCTAGGGGTCCAAGAACAGGCAATTGGTAGCGCTGGGGTCCTGCGGTCAGATGCGGGCACTCGGTGTCTCCTAGGCGCGGTGGACTGGCAGCTCTGCTCCGCTCAGAAGACCTCGGGGAGCCCAGGGAAGCGACCCCGAGCTCAGGGAGCAGGGCGCGGAGAGGCCAGGCCGGGCCGGGAGGGACGCTGCCTTGTTGGGAGGCACTCGAGCGCCCGGCCCGGCCCTCTCTCTAGCGGAGTCTGGGCAGGTGGGAGACTTGCAGTTCGGGAGGGAACTCTGAGGGGCTGAGCAGGTGCCCTCACTCGGGCCGACAGGAAAGAAGCCAAGAGGCAAAGCATCTGGGGGCTCCAGCTTTTGGAATTCAACACTCCCTCTCCTAACCTCTCTAAATTGGGGTCTACCGTGGGACCCCAGCTCCGGGCCTGAGCCCAGTTCGCCGCCTTTGGCCAGCTAATCCCACTGCTCTGACCTGGGCTGGGCAGGCACTAAAGGAGCAGAAGCGGCCTTTTCGCCACTGCGCCTATTGGTTCGAAAAAGGGAACTGAGACTGAGGGTGGGCAGCTAGGGTTGGGGCTGTGAGCGCTCCAGTGCAGCCCTCGACGGCACCGCCTGGAGCAGACGCTGGCAGTCCCCGGAGGATGGGCCTCTTGGGGCCGAGCGCTAGGCTGCCTGGGTCAGGAGGGCGCCGTTGGGTTGGGGCGGGCCGGGCCGGCCAATGGCGCGGAAAACTGGGGTGGCCTGGCCCGGCCTGGCCCCGGCCGACGCTGTGCGTTTGTCGCTTACAGTCTCCCGCTTCATGGGCCCGGCGAGCGGCATGAACATGAGCGGCATGGGCGGCCTGGGCTCGCTGGGGGATGTGAGCAAGAACATGGCCCCGCTGCCAAGCGCGCCGCGCAGGAAGCGCCGGGTGCTCTTCTCGCAGGCGCAGGTGTATGAGCTGGAGCGACGCTTCAAGCAACAGAAGTACCTGTCGGCGCCAGAGCGCGAGCACCTGGCTAGCATGATCCACCTGACCCCCACGCAGGTCAAGATCTGGTTCCAGAACCACCGCTACAAAATGAAGCGCCAGGCCAAGGACAAGGCGGCTCAGCAGCAACTCCAGCAGGACAGCGGAGGCGGCGGGGGCGGCGGGGGCGCCGGGTGCCCGCAGCAGCAACAGGCTCAGCAGCAGTCGCCGCGCCGTGTGGCCGTGCCAGTCCTGGTGAAAGACGGCAAACCCTGCCAGGCGGGTGCCCCCGCGCCAGGCGCCGCCAGCCTACAAGGCCACGCGCAGCAGCAGGCGCAACAGCAGGCGCAGGCCGCGCAGGCGGCGGCAGCTGCCATCTCCGTGGGCAGCGGTGGCGCCGGCCTTGGTGCACACCCGGGCCACCAGCCGGGCAGTGCAGGCCAGTCTCCGGACCTGGCGCACCATGCCGCCAGCCCCGCGGCGCTGCAGGGCCAGGTCTCCAGCCTGTCCCACCTGAACTCCTCGGGCTCGGACTATGGTACCATGTCCTGCTCCACCTTGCTATATGGTCGGACCTGGTGAGAGGACGCCGGGCTGGCCCTAGCCCAGCGCTCTGCCTCATCGCTTCCCTTCTGCCCGCCACACAGACCACCATCCGCCGCTGCTCCACGCGCTTCGACTTTTCTTAAGAACCTGACCGCGTTTTGACCACGGAACAACAACAACAAAAAACCACAAAGGCCAAATTGCTGGACGTCTTTCTTTTTTTTGCCCGTAAAATATGTGGGTTAAAAAAAAAAAAAAAAAGACAGAAAGAAAGAAAACAAAAACGACCAAGCGCATCCAATTTCTTAAGGAATCTTTAAATAGATATGGGCATAAAACAACTTTGAGGGTGTCTTTTTTGGTGATTCAAATGGGTTTCCCACCCTAGGGCAGGACACAGATTGGAGAGGGCTCTGTGCTGACATGGCTCTGGACTCGAAAGACCAAACTTCACTCTGGGCACACTCTGCCAGCAAAGTACACTGGCTTGTAAATACCAGGATATTTTTTTTTTTAAAAGAAGGGAGGACGGGAGTTGGGGAGAGCAAAGAGTCTTCGACACAACCCACTTGTCACTGACACAAAGGAAGTGCCCCCTCCCCGGCGCCCTCTGGTCGCCTAGGCTCAGCCACGACCGTCCCTCCGCAAAAACTGTTATGTTTGATGTGAACTTGTAGCTGTAAAACGCTGTCAAAAGTTGGACTAAATGCCTAGGTTTTAGTAATCTGTACATTTGTTGTAAAAAGAAAAACCACTTCCAGTCCCCAGCCCTTCACATTTTTTATGGGCATTGACAAATCTGTGTATATTATTTGGCAGTTTGGTATTTGCGGCGTCAGTCTTTCTGTTGTAACTTATGTAGATATTTGGCTTAAATATAGTTCCTAAGAAGCTTCTAATAAATTATACAAATTAAAAAGATTCTTTTTCTGATTAAAACCCTCCTTTTTGTTTGGTTTTGATTTGGCTTTAAATGGCTTTTTGTGGGGTGGGGGGAGCAGTTTGGGAGGATCTTGTCTTTGGTCTGATGAGATTCAAATTGTTTGGGTTTGAGTTCAAAGGATTCTGAACCGGTTAAGGAGGTAAAGAGGCCAGGCCTAGAGTCCTTGCCCCACGGGAAGAGGAAGTTTTGTTCTGCCTCAGAAACTGTGTGGAACCAAATCTTGAGCAGTCCTGAGACTGCAGTGGAGGACAGAAATGCCAAACTACTTCCACCAAGAGGGAGAGGGGGGGAGGAAGAGAAAGAGACCAAAAGATTCATTTTCAGAGTCAGACTTCTGTTGGTAAGAGCTTCAGAACTGTCTGCTGTCTACTGTGGTCTCACAAAGCTAAGCCAACGTTTTAAAACAGTGAGAGAAGACAACCATTTTAAATAACTCTAAATGAGTTCTGGTTTTTAGTGAATGGATCACCTCCATAGATTTGAACATTGAACCTTTATTCCGTAGCCTTCACAGAATTCGTTGGGAGGCTGTTTTAGAAAGTGAGGAAGTCATTCTGGGGTTCTGTTTCTGCCCTAAAACAGGGATGCCCTCTTGGGGACCAGTAGCAGACACCTCAGCCACTGCTGCTTTGGGCTCTTTTGGCCTCTAATGGAGTAAAACTACCTGACAGGCCTGAGGATGTCCCAGGAAGGACTTCAGGAGCTGAGATTTCACTCTTTTTTGCACTGGGTTCCTAAATTTTTGTAGAAATGAATCTTTCTCCTGTTTCCAGTTCTTCACTTCCTGGCCACTACCTCCCAGGCCAAGCGGAAAAAAAAAAATCATTTTGATTCCTTTCTTCCAACCTCTAATTTCCTGGTCTCCTCAGCGTTCAGTGTTTGTGTTGGGAGCTCCATTAGGGATGAGAGGGAGGAAAAAAGGAATGGTTTGAACACAGAAAAAATCGTAGTCTCTGGATGGGCTGTTGCTCTTTCTGGGTCACTCTTGCTAAATCTTTGAGGCAGGGAAAGGCTGCTGAGCGAGCTGCAGCATATGCCCCTCCCAGTACTTTCCTCTAGGCCTGGAAGTACTGGATTATGAGCAATTGGTTCTTATTTGGCATATATTCACTTCTCACCTAGATTTTCAACTTTTCTTTTTCTTGTCCCTCTCTTCTCCTCTTTCATTTCATTGTCTTCATCTCTTCCTAAGCCCTCCCTCCAGATCCCCCACCGAGAGCTTGTTAGGAAAGTAGACTGACCAGAGTCCTCGCTCTGGACCCAGCAGTCCTCTTTGTTGACTTCCTGGAGGCTCCTCTGGCGTGATGCCTTAAGACTGGGGGCTAGGCCCGGCTTTCTCCCTGGGCCTGACTGCAGAGACACGGTTTCCAATATCCAGAGGGACTCGAAGATTCCAAAGAGGAGAGTTGGGTCCAGTGAGTGTCCTGGTTGGAAGGCTGGGAAGGGAGATTTTAGCAAGTCTCACATTTTGGAAAACAAATAAACAAAAACCCGTAAAGTTTGACCACTTGCGTTGGAATGGCCAGCTATGGTTTCAGGGCAGGGAGTGTAGGTGGCTAAGGCATCCAGCTCCCGCCGAGCGGACAGGGGACGTGGATACTGCAGCTGCTGTTTGGCTCTAGGTCCGGATCCCACAGGATCCTCACTTAACCTGCCCCAGCCTAGCCCAAGCCCGGGCGGGGACCGAGCTGGCGGTGTCCGGCTATGGTCCGGGCAGCTGCCCCGCTCCCCATTCTAGCAGGGAGCCAGCCCTTGGGAATCACTATTTTAGTAAGCTGTGGTACCCCTGGTCTTAATCACGTTTGCACTGGATGGAGTTTCCATCAAATACATTCTTCTCCTTGCTGTCTAGAGTCGGTTTAGTTTGAAGTTTGTTTACTTGTCCCGGGGAAAGGTGAACTCAGTTGGGTTTACGGACCGAGACAAACAGGACCTAGGCCTCTCTCTCGCCGTCAATCACAAGGGCTCCATCTGCTCCCGCTCCCGCTCCCGGCTGGGTGACTTGTCGCAGCTACAGGTAGAGACCTAGAACGCAATCTGAAGCGTTTCATTAGGGAAATAGGTGCGCGCAGGGCGCAGTGCAAGAGGGTTCCGCAGCCCGGGGACACTTTCCGCCCCTACAGCACCGTCGGCTTCTGGAAAGCCGGCCGGCCTCCTTCCCTGGAATCTCCTACATCAACTTGTGCCCAACAACTCCTGCCCAATTTCTGGCCTCCCCTCCCCGAGAAATCAGCATACCGAGGATGCGCCTGGCGCTGAGGTGCTTGGAGGCTTCCGAGGTTTGGGAGCAGTACAGTTCGCCCCGAGATCACCGCGAAGCTTTGGCTCCGTCAAAGTACCCTACCCATCCTTAGGCCCCAACCGGCTGCGAGGAGTGGGGGAGACTTTGCACACTGCACCCCCCCTTCCTCCTCTCCCCACCCCCACTTCGCCATGTAAACACGAGGACTTTCTCGAGAGCCTTGGAGAGCCGCTCTAGTGGCTTCGGGCCCTGAAACCCCAGGCTGGGCTTGTTTGATGTTTAGCATCCTAAAGCGGCTCCCCACCCTGGCCCCAGCCTGGGAACTGGGAGCTGTGGGCAGGAGAGGAAGGAAATCAGCTCTCTCAGCTAGCTAGGGGGTCAGGGACTGGGCCAGGCTCAGGAGCGGGGCGAAGAGCGAAACAGAGATGCTCTGAGCAGGGGAGACAGGGATACCCGGCTCCTGCCGCTACCAAGAAGGGCACACACTGCGGTCCTCAAGGCCAGGAGGCGGGTGGGGGCAGGGAATGCCTCAGCCAACAGGGCAGCGGCTCGGCCCTGCTGCTGGCCCGGTGGGAAGTAGCCTGGGGCCCCGCGACTGAAATCCGAGCCAAGCCCGGGCAGTCTCCGCTAGAAACGCTCTGGGCGCGTCCTCCAGGAGACTCGGAGGCCCCGGGCGCTCCAGCCCAGCGTCCTTGTAGGAGGTTTCTTCCCGAAGCTTAGAGTTTGGCCTTTCATAGGGAAAGACTTGCTCGGGAGCCTTCTAAGAGGTGTTAAATCTTCCTGGGCCAGGGCTAGGGAGCTCTAGTAACAGTGCCTTGGTCTGGCATCCAAGACTCCAATTTTGAGGCCGCAGGGAGGAATTATCAGACTGTAGAGGCCGCCCAGCAGTCAGCGCGCTCACCGCGTCCAAGCGTCGGTGAGGGGCTATCTCAAGGCACGAGTGCACAAAAGGTAGCGCGAGTCTCTTCTCAGGCGATCCACATAAGAGGAAAGGAGAGCCGGGGTTTTCTGACTTCCAACTCATTAGGGACCAGGTAAGGTCAATGCTTTCTCTATTATGTCTTTATCTTAAAAGCGGGTCAATTTAAGATAAGGGAAAAAAAAAATCCAGGATCTGTATGAACCGTGCTGATAAAGACTGACCCCTTTTCTGAACTAAAAGCAAGCCAGGCAGACATTCATTTTCTATAAACAAGAGAGTTCTGAGAAGCTGCCTTGAATTCTGATCGTATGTCTCCAGACCTCGCTCTCCCTTCCCTGCTCCCCACCCCCCAATTATTAGAGCGAGGAAGCAGAGTGAGTAGACGATTTTATTTGTGGAGAACTAGGAAGCCCATTGGGAGATGAGAACGTGAGATGATATAATTCTTAAGCATGGGTGGCTGGCTGGTTTAGTTCAACTAGGGCTTTCTTTTCAAAGGAAGGAAAGTGAGACACTGGTAACCGCGAAGGACTAGGCTGAATGTTTTCTCTGCTCGGCTAGATCCTGGTTAGGGAACGCTGGACACCGTGTTTCTCTGGCTCTCCATGCCTTCCTGGCTGGCGAGTTCCTCCTTGTGCAGTTGCGTTTCTGAGGCTTCAGACCACCCTCTGTGGGGCCCAATTTGAAAGCTTACCTCAACTTGGAGCACAAAAAGTTTTCTGATGCTTTATCAGCCAGTTGCTTCTAGAAGGGGTACCCTATTTTCAGTCACCCTCTCTACAAAGTTTGTCCACTCAAGCTGAAGGAATTGGATATAGATGGGAGCAGACAAAAGTACGTTTTATTGAAGGAGGTTTGCATGTGCCCTTATCCTCACCTCATGTAGTTGTATTTCTGAACTTTCTTTAATGAATCTCAGAGGAATGGAGAAAGAGCAGGCTCAGCAACTTGGCAGCACAGTCTTTTGCCTCAGCTGAAGCCATAGCTGAAGTGGCCGGCTGCATTTCTCTTTGATAGTGAACTAATGCCCAACTTGGTGGGCATCAAGGCATGTTCTTGGGCTCCTGTGCCTCTCCATGCTTGATAATGTTTCCCATTTCATCTCTGCTTTCTAAGCATATATTACCCTTGTTATTATGAGTTGTAGCAAAGTTTTGGAAAGGGTGAGATTTAAATCCATTTTCCTGTTTTATTTATTTTTGTTATTTGCAAGACATTTGAACATAAATTGATCACTATTAGTGCTCTGCCCAAAATATAAATAAAACATAAACATTAATGTGTCAGGCAAAGGGACTTGATAAAGAGAACTCTTGCCTCCCAGATAAAATCTGCATCTAATACTGATTGCACACAGATGTCTATGTATATATGTGTGTATAAAAGTATATACACATATGTTTCTATCTTACACACATATATCTAGTTTATAAGATATTCAAAAGAAAATATTTCAATATAGAATTATCAGTAAGAGATTTTACAGAACCTGTTAGATGGACTACTTCGATTAAGGTGTCTCATGAAAGAGTTTCCTTAAAAATTCAAATAGGCCAAAACCCTTTAGTTTTACCCACTTTAAGTCAGACTATTTATTTATTGTCATGTGAAACTCTGGATAACTAATTATGTTTTAGGAAATATTAAAATCTGTTCCTAAAGAATTTGAACTTGATGTCTGAGACACAGCCGTGGATAAGACTTTTTGAGGCATTCTATAACAAAAAAGAAATTGTCCCTTTCCAAACTTATATTATCCACCTATAAAAATCATCGGCATAAATATTACTGCCCTGGGGCAACAACAAAAACAACTAATACATGTTTCTGCTCCGCATTTGAGGCAAACGGCCTCTTGATTTCAGCCTTTAAGCCTTCACATAGTATTGCAAATAAGAGGGCAAGGCTGAGTGTTGTCTGATAACAAGGAAGAAGACAAATTTTTTTTCCTCTCCCTTTTCCCCTGTTTCACACATTTCCAGAGAATTCGGTCTTTGATTGTTAGATCTTGCTGTTAGTAACAGCAGGCTGTTGGTGGAGTGTTAAACATTCTACTCTAGAGTATTGGTGATTGCTGATAATTTCATTTCTATAAAATCAGAGCTATAAGGCCATGAAGTGTCCTTGAATATCCTTCTTCTGTCTCTGTGCTCTGGATCCAGTCTATGGAAAATGACCCACAACAGGTTGGCCTCCACCTTGCCTGGCATTCTCCCTCCTAATGCTGCTGCTTGTAAGGTCCAAAGCTCTAGGAAAACAAGACTTTATTTGGCCCGCGTGCTACTGATTTACCCGATCTCTCCAGCACACACAGGGCTGAGTGCGCGCGCACAGATGTAAACCTGGGAATTACCGTAATGACACGAAGAGAACTGAGAGCTAGTTCCTCTGAGCTGCCTGCACGTTCTGCCATAACCCAGCAGACCCAGTCAATGTCTAAGGAACTGGATATGTCTATGTGTAAAGCGAACCTCGCAAAATTATGGTCCCAACAGATGCTTCCAGACAAGTCTCTAAACAGATTTGCAGAGACAGACTTTTCTAGAGGAGACTCAAATCGCAGAGTATTAAATCTCTCTCTCTTTCTTGCCACTTGATGGTGCCTCAAGGTCTGCAAGGCCTGGGTTGGGACTAAGGGCTTGGGGGGCTGGGCATTGACAGCTTTTTCCTTCCCTTCTAATACTGCCTCAGAAAGAATTGCAACTCTCAAACCACCGTGGTGCACAGAGCACACATCCCCACCTCAAGCCACAGCAGACAGAAGTTGTAGCTAGTTCATCATTACCCACCCACCCATGCACCCACAGTATTAACTGAAATGTCAATCACTGCTCCCTGGCAGCACTGTTTCCTGGCAGGACTCCTGATCCTGGGCCTGGGTGCAGTAAGCTTTGGAAGTGCTGCATTGTATCATACCTACAACTCACAGAATAGATAAAACTCAGACATCTCTCTACACATCTACATAGTCCATTGGCTTCATACTGAAATCAAACAGAAGAACCTTTCGGAAATATTTAACAAAAAGCCAATCCACTCATGGCCATCATTTAGCACTGGGTGGGGGGTAAAGAGAAAGAAAACCCCTTTGAGATATATGGTATCATACAAACATGTTCACATTAATCTTCCTGTATGAACCATTTTCTAACAATTACAATGCCCTGTCAATACAGTTAGTTGTTGAAAATTCTCAACATAGCTAAATACTTAGATTGCATTGGTCGTGTGCCTGAAAGCTAGTTGGGGGTTGTGTATGTGGTTCTGCTCAATGGAAAAGACAGAAAAAAGAAGCCAGAGTGGAAAGGAGACAGTGAGAAAAGAGAAACAACTGTTCCTGGGGAAAATGTGTGAGCTTCTGCGGGAGGCTGTAGCAGCTGAGAAGTGCTGGTTATATATAGCGAGGTCAAAGTGATGGGGTGGGGGGCGGTGGATGACTGTGTGGTGTGCTTGCGGTGTTTAGGGAGTGATCCTAGTGGGGAGGGCTTGGGAGACGGCTGGGATGTGGTGTGTGTACCATGTCTGAGCTTTGGGCCGGTAACACAATGGCAATGTAATTATCTGGCTGAAACATGCTCAAATGGCAAAAAGTTGCAAAATAGATCGACCTCCCCGGGAAGAGACAGAGCTGGTTACAGAGGTCTGCAGCCATCATCCTTTTTTCAATACATTTTAAACAAGAGGATCTAGCGAGTGATTCTGATTCAATACACATAATCAGTTTGCAAGTCTTATTTCCATTTGAAAACAGGGCCATTTGCAATCATAAGAGCCGGACACGCTGAAAGATACGGAGCGCATTCCGAGTAGATGATGGGTGACAGAATCTGTAGGCGAGCACTAAATATTTTCTTCCAGCTTCAGACCTTGTGCATCAGTCTTCGGTCCTGATGTATTTTAAATGGAATATTCCTGTTGAATATATAATATAATTGCTTAGAAAATGGAGACTCCATGGTTGGAAGAAAAAAGTCGACAAGAAAGGTGACAGAGGAACCACGTTGATTGTGTTTCTCCTCGACACTGGTTAACAGTCATTTAATGAAGAGTCTACGGATTGGGTAGAAGACTTAATGAAAAAATTGAACTGGTTTTTAAGGGAACGGCTGCCAGACGGTGTAGCCGGGGACTAATATTCTCAGGCTGAAGCTGCGAAGCCCTGGGTGGGTGTGGCAGGGACTGGCGGGGTGTCTGCGGGGCCTTCAGGGAAGCCCAGGGACAGCTCTGCGGCCTCCCAACGACGCTGAAAAAGACTTGGGGGCCCCCTCGCGTCCTGCTGTTCCAATTGGTTGCCAGGTGTCTAAACTAGAAGTGTGGGCGCTTGAAACCTCGGCCTGTCTTAGGGTCTCTCGCTGAGAAAGTTTTGGTTTCTAGGACCTAGAGACGCAGCTGTCCCAGGCCTTCCGCTTCCTGCCCGCAGCCTCATCCTCCCGCACCCCCCAGATCTGGGTCTCCCCAGTCCCAGTCCTCACCCCGCCTACTCGCCGCCACTCTGCCGACACCCAGGCGGCAGCCTCGCTCTCGGCCCCCGCCCGCCCCGCGTCTCCGCGTCCCCGCGTCCCCGCGTCCCCGCGCCCCGCCCCGCCGCGCCCCGCCCTTGCCCAGGCTCTCCCTCCCGTTCCCGCGCTGGCAACAGCCACAGCCGCGCGCCCCCTGCGGACGCGGGCCCCAGCTCCTCCTGGAGACCACACCAGCAAGTCTGATATGCGGAAAAGTAGAAACTTCCCGGGAATTTCGATCCCAGAATAACAAATAATAGTTCACTAGGTCACGACGATGATGCAAACCCTAACTTGCAAGGATTTTAAAAACAGATCTTAACGTGCAATCTTTCTTTGTACAAATAAACGAAACCAAACAAAGCCAGCGAACTGCTGCTGTTTCCCTGGCGAATTTTCTTAAGGAAAAGAGAGATTCCGTCTCTGCCCAGATATCAACATCTAACGAACGTTCCAGGAGACTGAAATTCAACCTAATAATAGTATGTTCTTAATACTGATTCCATTTTTATTTCAAAGGGGGTAATTTATTAGCCTCATCAAAGTGGTACCTCGTAGGCAGGTGTGTTTTTGGATATCCTTGTAAAGCATTTCTGCTTCTGAGAAGATCTTA